AAGTTCACTTATTGTGAAAACTCCACAAACAGTAGTAGGGGACAGCATTTTTCCCCCTAGATGTTGATGTGCAGTGGTTTCTATTTGCAACATGATGTAAAAGAAAGAATAGTTATCAGGGTCCGTCCTGAGGCAGGCCAAGTGTGTGTGTTTTTACCTGGCGGCCTGAACAGCGCTCAGCTGGACGCCCTGGTTATCACTGGTAGCATTCTAAAAAAAGAAAATACAAATGAATCACGCACAATACAACAATCAACATATTTATTTTATAGCAACAATGTGTGTTTTCCAAAATATTTTTAGTTAGAGGGAGCATATTATAAGACATTAAGCAGACTTTAAAGGACATTTGTTATTTGTAATTAATCATTCAAATAACAGGAAAGGAAATATAGCACTTACTTGTACTATTGCTTCAAGAGAGGTGTTTTGCTGAAGAAGAAGATTTCAGAAAGATTAGGACTCTGTTAAACACGTAAACCCAAAAGTACAAAAACATACAGGTTGTGTAACAGAAAAAAAACCTTTTTAACCCCATTTTTTAAAAAACAAACAGCACTATTAAAGGCATGTAGTGAGTTATCAGAAGGACAGCGAGCAGACATCTGTTAGCTTCTTGTTTTTATATGTGAAAACTGTTAGACAGGAAAGAGTAAAGCACCAGCTGACACAGCGAGAGGAGGCTGGGGGATTGAGAAATGCCGTCAGGAGTCTCGCTTGAACCAGTCTGGTGTTACGGTGTAACAGTCAGCAAGCTGGACGTGCAGGCTGTCATTCACCATGACAAAATGCCAATTGGCACCCTTACCCAGTGCCCCCTACATGAAGTTCAGAGTCAAACGTAGGCCCTGAGTGGCTGAACTTATTGGAAGATACCTCTGATTAATTTATGCAGCACGAGTGGAAACCAGAAAAAAAATCCTAGCATCTCTGAGTGAAGCAGATTTATGATGTTGTATTTACATTCGATGTCTGGGCAGATGATTAAAGAGGCAACTCCAACCTAGAGATATTAAAAATACTTGAGACAAGAATAATGAAAGGAACAGCTGAGGGAAAGAGGATTCAGTCGTAGGGTCCAAACTACTTATTCTGCAGAAGCTAACAAAAAGCATCCTTAAGGAAACAATTAAATAAACCTTAAAACCACTATCACTGGTGTGATGAGTAGTTAAAGCAGACTTTCACAAAGGCCAGTGTAATGTTTTGCAGTGAGTCAGAGCAGCATGTCACTGTTGATCTACTGCTAAGCAGCTCACTCTGAGTTAGCTTTCTCAACACTATGAGGTAGTCAGAGTGATTGCAATTTTGAACTGCTGAGTGGCCATTTTAGAAAAGACCCAAGGCCCACTGATGAGAGCAGCAAAAATTTAAGCGAGAGCAATATTCTTGTTATCAGCTGACCCTTTACATTTAAGGAAGGTGGCTTTGTTGGTCACCTTTGTCTCAGAGCTCCTTTGTTGTGTGGAAGTAACATTATTAAAACACAGCCATAGAGACTGAAGTGGGCTGATGACATTTCTTTAAATCAACCATGAAATGTCCAGATAGGCCCTCTCTGCCTCCTTGTCATCACTCCAGAAAGTGATGAGTATTTTGAACTTAAAAACATTATAGCTAAATACAAACAGCTAGTGTATCACCCAACAAAAACACTGTACCACTTGAAATGGGTCAGTTACAGAGTAAAAGGATGTAGGTCATTTAATAGGCTCCAATACCATGATATTTTACTTCACTGATTAACTTGACTGTGCATGCATTTACACATTGTTTAAATTGACCCCAACCCCTAACCTGAAGATTAAAAAGCATATAATGTCAGGTCTGAGACACTTGGGGAAAAATGATTTGGGGGCAGCTGAAACAGTACTGCATATATTATTTATGTTGCCTTTTCTTACCTAGAATACATTTTAGGAAACAGAATAGGTGTTCACTGCACAGTTAACATAATAAAAATAAAATAAAAATGTGGCATTACTGTTTAGTAAAAAGCAAACTAAATATCTGAAAATAAGGTATGTTGAACACATTCTACCGAGTGAGTATCTTCCTTCGGGAAGAACCCATCAACAAGCAGACAGCTAGACAAACTGCATGTTTTTTCACACTAATGCCACACCGAGCTGACGTAAAGCACAGAGGAGCCAATGAGGCAGCATCACATGAACAAGATGTCAGCAGGTTCTAAACCTCTGGAGTGTTTCATCACTGTGATGACCTGCACGTGCAAAAACCCCTTGAACAAACAGTCATGACAACCTTCCTCCCAGACTGTCATTCCCACTGCTTGGACAACACCCCACCTTTTAAAAAACAAACAAACAAAAAAAAAAAACCGCACAAAAACTAAAAAGATGTTTACCTGACTTCCCAATGACAGGAGACTTGAGTGGGAAACTAAAAAAAAACAAAACAAAAAACAAACAAACATACCGATCTGAAATCTCCGTCAACATCAGAGTCCTCACAGATGTCCTCATGGGGAACATTTCTCCTCTTCAGAAGATGCTCATCTCTTTTGTTCTGTAGAAATAATACTTCATATAAGCTCATACAGAATTTCATCATAAATAAATTAGAAATTTAGCATACATACTACGTCACACAGATTTGCAGATAAAAGAGCAGACCATAACATAATGTACCTTAAAGTTATTAGTGTTTGAAATTGGTGGAAAATATATTTAAAAAAATATAAATGTGATTACCTTTCTGAGTTCCACCACTACTTCAGTCCTCTGTCTTCTCATAGTCTGTGAGGAAAGATGGCACGGGAAGATTATACAGAAGGAGAGCTTTAATTAGCCTATACTGTCTTCAATCAATTCAAATCATACACAAACTACAAATGAGTGACTGACCTAATATTACTTAGCTTTAAGACCCTAACAACACAGATAATTCTTCTATTCTTTGACAAAGACAATATTTTATTAATGATCTTCCCTTTAAGGAACAAACACGATGAGGTACACTTAACCAACATTTTATCATCATATGAAGACACTGCAGTTCTGCAAAAGGTAATTAATATTTGTGATGCTGTGTTGTACTGCTTTACGATCAAATCTGCACTACTGTATTAATATTCATGAACTGCATAATTTGTAAGAAATGCACGGTAGTCTTACTCACTGTTTATGGAGAAAAGCTAAAAGAGGAACGTTTTGTTGAATAGTACATTGGTTATAATGTTTATTTTCTGTCCTCTGATGGCCAAGACTTGGGAGAGCAGTTTAAATATTTCTTCATAGTAAAGTAATGGCTAAGAGCTGGACGGGTTTTATTTAAAATAAAATCTTCATAAAGAGACATTTTAATGTAGGATTGTTGAATCTAACGACAGTAGCCGTCCTACGCGGAAGAGACATATTGCAGACAGTAAATAACTGACGAAAATAAGTTGTGGTTGCTGCTCGCGAAATCGTGTGTTCTTCAATAACAAACCTGCACGGTGCTTTTGTAACTGAAGTTTTCAGCAGGTTGTGAAGCGAGAAGCTCGTGTCCGGAGGCCTACCGCGCCACAGACTTGTCAAACAGGATGTATGAGTATATCCTGATTATACATCTTAACTAAGCCCGCCTGAAAACAATATCAGCCGGGTAACATTACTGACACTCTGACCCGACTCTAACTCCACTGGTAACTTATCGATCCGACGTTAGCTAACGTGTAGCTTTGATCTGCGGCTCGTGTAATCATGTTATCTTAGCTATGCGCGCTGTTTTCACGGAACGTGTAACGTTAGCATTAACGAAATACAAGAATGCAAACAAACAGAAAATCAACTCCAAGCTTTGATTAAAACACTCAGGCGACCGGCCAGTAAAGACGCTAACTGGTTTCCGCCATTGTTTTTGATTATAAAGACGGGGGATGGGTGGAACTGCAGCCAGCAGTACCACCATCAAACCCCAATCACCAAGCTAGCATAGGCTAGCTAACTGCAGTATCAAAATAACGATAAAATGCCGCCATGTTGTCTTAGCAATAAATTATATAGTTCTAAAGAACAGCTCGAAAGCCATGTGTATGAACTTTTCGACGAGACGGTGACTAACACGCCGAGCTAAACCTATGTCCTAGGGGTGATAGTCTTCAGTTGAACTAGCATGTACCCCGTGGGCCTGGCTAGCAGCGGGCTAGCAGATGAACTCTGGCTAGCGTTTCTGACGCGTTTTATAGCCAAAGCGGCCCATGGGTTAACGAAACCAGTGAGACCCGACAGGGAGTCGTCCGGCCCCGGCCAAATATTTAAAATAAGCTTTATGTAAAGACCCGGGGCTCTGGGTACAAAGTTCCCATCGGTAGAAATTAGAAACGACGTCACAGGGAAGCGGAGCGGCGAAGCTGGAGGCAAACAGAGCGGCGGACGCTGTGGAAAAGAGAGATCCTCGACACCAATCGGCACAACTTTTACCTCCAAATCACGGCCTTTATTCTTGAAATTCTTCAGCCGCTGGTTGTCCAGTTTCTCGTTGTCAGCCATGTTATCGCTTCTGGTTACGTTAAATACAGATGAACTCGTGGATTTAGCTGTGAGCTACCCCTTTTCTGGTTCCCTTTTCTCAGCCTTTCGTTAGCGGACTATTTTTCGCAGCTCAGTCCGCGGTGCATACTGGGAATGCCGGTGGTGGAGGGCAGCCTCGATCTGGCGTAGCGGAAGGGTGGGGAATTCCCCGACACGCTCATTGGTGGAGGGCTCACTACAAGTTACTTAATCATTATATCTAATTTATATTTATATATATGCACCGTCAGAGGTACGAACTGCACACAGTGTTAGCGCCAACTGATAAAAATAGTAAGTAAGTAAGTATAATTTTATTTATATAGCACATTTCTAGATAAAAAAAAAATCAAAAAGTGCTTCACAAGGTATAAAACAAAAACAGACAAAAGTTAACAAAATGCAATTCTAAAAAGACGTGTTTTTAGTTGTTAAAATAAATAAAAACAAATTTTATTGTCGCAAACGAAATTAAATAAATTGAAATAAACATATAAAAAGGCCCTAAGACGATTATGTTAAAATATGTCACTGACAAATACCCTATTTAAAAATAAACACTAAATAATAATGTATATTGAATAGTAAAACTTAGGTCCGATAAAGAGTCCAAATCCAGCCACTGGAGGGCTTTAAAAATTGTGAAGGAGGGCAAACATTTTTCACTTTTAACGTAATTTTCATAACTTTTACAGCTTTTTCTACTATTGAAGACCTCCTCGAGGCCAATTATACTATGCCAAAGTAACTGAGTAATAGATCAGGGTTTTTTTTACTATATGTATTAAAGAAATGTTGATGAATGAATGGATGGATGGATACACATTTACAAAGACGTAATTTTTAAATTACAAAATACTCTGGAAACGAGATACCAGAACTTTTCTCATAATTTTACACATTAATTTGTTACAATTTAAGCCCAAAGTGTCGTGCTGACAGATTTTTCTGTTACTACAGCAGCACTTCTTTGTTATGTAGAAAACTTAGACGTGTTACTGAAATTGTAGTTGCTTTTCTTATAATTAATATCTCAGGGGATTAAATATGTAGTTAATCTTACATTAAACTTAAAGTTAAAGGGGAGTTTCTCCTGTCTGTACTGTGAAAAAGTATTTGGCACACTTACATGTTTCAGATCGTCCATTTTCTTCTGCTTAACTGGTATAGGGTCATGAATTCAGGGTTATGAGAGGCAGGGTACACGCTGGACAGAGAAACACTCACATTAACACCTACAGTCAGTTTAAAATCACCAACCCTACATGCATGTCTTTGGACTGTGGGTGGAAGCCACAGGCAGGATTCAAACCCACGACCTTCTTGCTGTAAAGTAATACCCATGTTTCAGATCATCAAACAATTTTAATATTAGTTAAACATAACCTGAGTAAATACAAAATGCAGTTTTAAAATGATGATTTCTTTTATTGAGGAAACAAAGCTATCCAGAGCTACTTGGCCCTGTGTGAAAGAGTAATTGCTCTCTAACCCTAATAACTGGTTATGCCACCTTTGGCACCAAAAACTGCACTCAAGTGTTTGTGATAACTGGCAGTGAGTGTTTCACATCACTGTGGAGGAATTTTGGCCCCCACTTCTTTGCAGAATTGTTTTAATTCAACCACATTTGACCACTTTGACTATAAATGGCGTGTTTAGGGTCACGCACAAGCACCTCAAACTGAATAAAGTCTGGACTTTATCATTCAAAGCCCAAACCACAAAATAATTGCCAGAAAATTGAGATTGTTTTTGAAAATGAAACGTTTATTGAAACTTCTGACAACTAAAAAAAGTCTAAATTTTAATATTAATTTGTATAAATGTCTTTTAATTTGTAATTTTTTAAAATGTTGTTTTTTTGTTTATTTTGTTTGGTTTGGGTTTTTTTTTCTTGCTTAAAAATGTGTTGTGCAATTTATTTGACCTTTTTAGGGGGGAAATGTCATACTGATGTTGAAGAATCTTCAAAAACTCCCAAAAAACATGAATCAAATATTATAGAAGAGGCTTTAGAGGGTTAAATACTGTCACTTGGTCTGGATAAGTGTGGTCAAATCAGGCCCACAGGCCGACTGGAGCCATGATAAAGATCAGGAATAACTCCAGAAGTTAAGACAAGCACTGAAAAGTCAGCTCAACAGTAGGAATAAGATCCAAGCTATCAGTCCTTCAACACCCAGCTCTGACCCAGGACAGAGATGTCACTGATGTCAAGACATAAAAACTCACAGAGATCTCCACCCAAAGTCCAGCACCCTGAGGCTCTATGAGCAACCGAGAGAGGGAGGGCGAGGATTAGTCCATGAGGTAACACGGAGCATCTGTTTGCCTTTGACGTGTAAACTAGGAGGAGGAAGCTTCGGAGGATTTCATTTCAATCATTTCAATTATTTTTACATTCCCTGAATGCAACAAGTTTGAACAAATTACAATTAACAAAAAAACTTGTTGTGAACACATCCTGAAAGGCAAAACCAAGGAGGCTATTCCTGCTGTCATTGGCTACGCTAACATGCTCATTTTGCAGTACTGCAGTACCACTTTTCCACAAACCTGCCTGATTCAAATACTTTTATTTAATTAGAAAAAAATACAGGACAAATGAAAATACACAATTCAAACCTTAGATGTACAGTAGATATGATTTGTATTCACATTTGTGTCCCTGAAGATAATCTACCACTAACTCTGAATATTGTAATATTGTGACAATAACAATAACACAAATAACAGATTAAAAGATAAACAAGTTAAGTGCACAGCTGAGGCGAGAAAACTTGCACAACCACCAACCGCTATCAGCTTTTTTACGTATTATCAGGCTAAATATTTGCCTATGACAGCTTGAGACTGTTTTCCCATAATCTGCTAATCCAAGATTTTTCACAGAATACTAGTGGTCTGCAGTCACAGCCTGAGGACACTCTGCCCTCAGTGTGATACACATTCTTATCTCTGACTATTGCACTCTGTCTGTGACTCAGGCCGTTCAGTGATGTGTTGCAGAGGCAGGCAGGGGGAAATCCTGCACGGCGCATGAATAAAACTAAAGAAAGTCTTCATCCATCAGCTGCCGCAGAGCAAGGATTGTTTCATAGCCGTGACACTGAAGCCTTTAGACCTCATCTTCACCTTAATGTCCTCTTGAGTCCGTTTCAGTGGGGTCTTCATGAGATACACTATCCTCCTGAAACCTTCCTCGAGTCCCATCCCAGTTGTGGCCGAGCACGGCTGGATGTACCAGGCCCTGCCTTCGCACACTTTTCTCAAATGAAGTTTCAGGCAAAGCTCCTCTGGGCTCAGAGCTCCGGGTAGGTCCTGTTTGTTGGCGAGGACCAAGAGAGGAACCTCCCTGAGACTCTCGTACCTCAGAACCTGGTAAGCAGAGAACACAGTGAGGGCCGGCACTACAAACTTTTTAGAAAAGCCTGAATTTTGTGCTTGCTTCCAGGTTTACTATAACTTTATGGTTTACAACACCTTAAAATTAAAAATAGAAGAATATCTTGGCGTTTATTATGCATTTATCAACAATTAGAAGGTTTTTTGTGAAGACTTTAAACTGATAATGCTAATGACCTCTTAATACCTTTAACATATGAACACATTAAAAACCACCCTCTTACAACTACATTATAATGCGTGATAGATAATTTATTAAAGATATAAACAGGAACACAAAATAAAGCACCTGTAAGATTAATTTGCATGTTTTATTGTTTTGTCCACAAAAACAATGCCTTCAAATGACCTCATCAGAAGTTTAAATACAGTGCCTTGAAGTTTCTTGAGTTGCTAGATTCAAAACTAGTTGCAGTGCCACAAATCCCTGCTCATAAATACCCTACATGCTTTCAACATTTCCCCTTTCGAAGGCAGTTTTGGAAACAGATTTGTAGCATCAAAGCCTGCACAGTGAAGGTGCATGCTCAACAATAAAATATTCGTTGGTTTATTTACCCGATGGAGTTCCTTGCGGGCCTCGTCCAACCGTTTCAGGTCCCTGCTATCCACCACAAACACCACTCCAGCTGTGTCGGTATAGTGATGCCTCCAGTGGGGCCTCATCTTTTTCTGGCCCCCGATGTCCCACACAATCAGTGCCGGGCTGTTCCTGTCCGTCTCCAGAGTCTCCACATTGAAACCCACAGTGGGCACTGTCACCACACTCTCGTTGTACTTCAGCTTGTAAAGCAGCATGGTCTTTCCTGATCCATCCAGGCCCAGCATCAGGACTTGTGCTTGTTTCTGATGCTTGGATCCGTGAATACCCATGTCCTAAGAATGTAGTCCGTGTCTGTGGAGCTTTCTCTCTTTGTGCAACTGTGTAAACTACGCTGAGTGCACTCAGTGTGTCTGCTGTCTTATGAAGAACGAGTAATCCCTCCCCTCTGTTGTGTCCAGATTCCTTCTGGCCTTGCGTAGCTTTCAGTAAAGCTATTTATATGTGAACTGACGGTGCAGCTGAGTGGGGCAGCATGCAGTTCTCTGGTTACCAAAGCACAGTCAGTGGAGTCACATCACACCTGCCCCGGATCATCATACACACCAGCAGCAAGGAAGTCCATGTTTGGCACAACGGGGAAGATTGTGTTACCTCCTGGCTGGCTGGTCACTGCTGGCCTCATACCAGTGACATCACAGCTAAAGTTTGATAGCCGTAGCAGATGGGCAAATTTTGTCTAACGTGTTTGGTCAAAGTGCAGCTTCCAGAAGCCTCTGAGCCAATCTCAAAATGTAACATTAATCTCAAATACATTTGCATCTAATTAAACAGAGTCCTGTTTTTATTAGTGAATACAAAAAGGATTAAGTACACAATTTACTTGTCATATTTAATTACCAGTGATTCTGGATACTTATTATTGGATCTCCTGACTGCATTTTAGGTTTCATGTCACTGTTTGTTGCAGCTCTTTACAGACCTTTTATCTGGCTGTCAGGTTTAATTGGTGTAATCAACTGTGGACTTGTTTATAATGTCAGCAGCAGAATGAACTGACCCGCGCTAACAAAACCACAAATGCCAACTTATGTTAATTAACATCTTCAGATATCCTCCAGCAGGTGGAATAAACAGACTCAAATCTAAAACTTTGAAAAGTCAGAGATCATCAGTTGATTTTGCCACAGCTTCTTTTTAAATAATGAAAATAAGGCACAAAATAGAATTTGATCACATTTTAGTATGATGAGTGTTGATAGTACACCTCATTTATTTGAAATTCATCCAGGGACCCAGACTTTGTCATTTTTTAAAGTGGCCTTCAGCAACAGTTCTCCAGGTTTTCTGAAGATCTTCAAAAGAGATCTTAAAAAAAAAAAATCTGAGGAAACAGGACAAGCGGAGGGCAAAAGAAGTGGCAGGTCTAATAAAAACTGTAGCAGATGAACAGTATCTGTCCTTAAGAAACAAAAAAAAAATAAGCAAAGACCTGAAACAGGAACTGAGAGAATCATCTGATCTGTAAGTCGATCCAGCTACGCTTCACTGAAGCCTCACCAGATATGGTCTGCATTTAACCCGGTGCTGCTGTTTCTCTCTTTTATTTTTACAAAGAAATAAGAGGTGGTTCAAGACTTTTGCACAGTACTGTAACCTACATCTGTACAGAATACATTAAAATAAAAAACTCCACACACAATAATGATGCGATCTTTTATCGTTTTAATCTTACCTTTGTGATTTACACCTTAAAATTTCTGAATTTTCTCTTTTTTACAGTTTATGAAATCCAACAAAAACAAGTACAAATGCCACACAAACATCCCGTAACATACGTTAGAGGAAAAATGTGAACTGAAAAAAGCACAGACAGTTTCATTGGGTATATATCTCTGAAGTGAAACAGCTCAGGTAACAGGCGCCCCGCTGCGTTAAACATTGGAGGAGTGATACACGAGGACAGTATGTACATTCATCTTACAATTTGTCTCTCGGAGACATGTTTTCATCATTGCTTTTCCACATTTGATTTAAGGAGGGATGACGCTGAGGTCGTGCACTGTGCGCCGTGTGGTCGACTGCGTTACATCGAAAAACCGAGAAGTCGTGTTGACAGCGGACTCGATAACAGGATATGAACAGCTAGAAAATAAGGCAACGATAACTGATCTCATTCAAAGGCTCGTTAAGATTAAGTTCAGAGTAAATCAAAAGCGATGCGATTCAGATCCACGACTTTTGCCTTAGTGAGATGAGACGCTGTGAAAAGATGAAAACATAACTGTATGCTGTCGGTTTAAGTTCATCAGGTAGATTGTAATAAATGATGATGTAACAAAAGTCACATAAAGGAAGGGGATGTCAATATCTGATAAGTCTTTTAAAGGGTGTAATATAAAATCCTACATAACATAATGCTTAAAACTGCCATTTATTATTATGATAGAACCGTTTACCTTCTTCATACCTCTCCAGGTTAGCGGTCAGCTATTATATGAGATAACACATTAACCTTTTTGAATTAAAACTTAGCAGTTAGTCATAATGAGATGTTACTTTGTTGTTACTCCAAACATTTAATTACACTTTTACAAGCTACAATATTATCCAACAGTTATTACATTATTAGTAGTTACACATCCTGATGAGTTGGGCCAGAAAAAAGCAGGAGAGGTCAAACGTGAGGGTGAAACGCTTCGGTGGAACAGAAACTCTTAGCGATCGTTTTAATTAAAGACACATTAGAAAACGGGGCAACTCAAGCCAAAACATGAAGGTTTCCCCACATCCAGCAAGTGTGATGTAACAAAGTGGTAAGTGCTATTGCTGTACAGTATGAGCAGTAACGTGTTTTCATTTGTGTTGGTCGTGTAGAAAACCCGCCACCGTGCTGAACAACAGATTTCTTAATCGATAAACACAGACAAGGTGGAAGAAAGAATTTGGAGGTCACAGACAGTGAGGGAAAGACATAGTTTGGAAATTACTGGAAACATCATGCTGTCATTTAAAAGGGACATTACAATGGGGCAACGAATCAGATGTTAGTGTCAGACGTGTGCAAGTTCATCACAAAGAGACATCAATGACTGTCACCTCTCTCTCTCTCACACACACACACACACACACACACACACACACACACACACACACACAGGATCATAGCCGCACCCACAGCTGCACAAAGCTTAATCAGATTATTTGCATAACAGTGATCCAGCTCGCTTTACGGTGCCTCAGAGATATGGCTAAGACTAAATGAAGGACATTTTTATTGGGTCACTTTTATCGCAAAGTAAAGCAGGCGAGGGGGGCATGACGGGGTGGGGGTCGGATGCACTGAGGGACAAACTGCTGTAAATATGTGTGATAGAAATAGTTCTCGCTCAAAAAGCGCTTATTTCATCTTAAGTATATTCTTATTTATATTCAGACACAAAATAGATACTGTGCGCAGAAGACGTGCGGTCTACTTTTCGCTGGCCTTGCCTTTGAACTTGACCACCATGACGGTGATGTTGTCAGGGCAACCGCGGTAGAAGGACTGAAGGACGATGCTCTTGGCGCCAAAGTGTGGCTCGTCCAGTCGTTCCCTGATGAAGCGAACCGCCTCCTCGTTGCTGAAGGTGTCCCACAGGCCGTCCGACGCCAGGATCATGAACTCGGGCTGCAGCTTGTTCAGGTCAAAGGACATGACGTCGGGATCGGGAATGACCACGTTGAGGTTTTTCAGAGGGTAATCGCCCAGAGAGCGGGACATGGCCAGGATGCCCTGGACGCGCCACGAGCCATTGAAACTGATGAAACCGCCTGAGGATGCGTGGGTGGGATATTAGAAAAAATGTAAGAAGCCAGGATAATAAGGCAGAAATTACAAAAACAAAGGTGGGAGGAGACACACGTGTATAGCTACTTAACCATTAAAATGTAAAATATTCTGACAGATTAAATGACAGGATGTTTCATCAACTAAGAAATGACATCAAAACGCAAACATGGCTCTTTGCCACTGACCCAGTGCAGCACTGTTTTTGTTAGAAACATTTAAATTCATTTCACATCCTGCATGTACAGCTGTGAGTCTACTATGGCTTCCACAGATATGCAGACAGGGAATTATACTGGAAATTACTGGATACTAGGCCATGAAGACTTCCGAATTTGCAGTGAGCAAGGCCATAAGCAGGATGTTAAAAAAGTACTGAGGTTAAAAGTTCAGGCCATGGCTATAAAAAAATCTAATTATGTGTAACTCTGACTAATAAAAAAGGTCCAAAATTCCCGCAAAAATTCCCAGAAAAAGCAGAGGACTTGGTCTCTCTGTCCTCGCTTTAGCAGCCACTGATTCTTCAGCTTCTGTGAGGTATTAAAAGTTAAGCTTGTAAATGCATCTTTAAGCATTTATCGTTATATTTGTATTCAAATAGCCCATGAATTGTGTTTTTTTCCCATTACTTTCAGTATTTTAGCATCATTGCTGCTGACAGCATGTTACACTAACCCTCAGGAGGCACCAAACTCACTGTGGACCATTTATGGATAATTCAGCAGCTAAATGAGCTTGTTTGGCTCATGAAGCTTTATTACATCTTTTCTTTTTGTTGTTGATGTTATAATAGAAAAAATTCGCCCGTTTTTTTCCTCTCTAGTCTCAGTCTTTTATCTTTTTTGTCTCTTGGTGCAGTCTCCGTCCTTTTTTTGTTAATAAAAATGTAAAAATCCCAGCAAGGTTTAAGTTTATGATTAAATACAAATTGGTTATCATTTCCCAGCACAATATAAAGGAATGAGGACAAGTTCAAGACTTTTCCACAGAACAGCACAGACTGTTAAGAATATACCTAATTAATATTATTATAAAGCTTTAATATAAATGTGAACATATTTTATTATTAGTGTGCAAATTTTAGGGGAAAAGGCCTCTGATTTACTGTGTTTTGTATTTTTTAAATAAATTAGTCATAAATCTTAAATGTGAATTTGCTGTTCGGTACTTGATTTATTATTGAGGAGTTAAAAATATTTTTATTTCTATGTTTTTATTTAAAAGTGACAGTGCAGCTTGACGTAGTTCCAGTGCAGAGCATTAAACAGTTTACAGTTTATAATTGTTGCTAATTTCCTGCCCTTGTCCCTTGTTGGGCTTTTACATCGACAATGCACAGGCAAGGTTTACAGCATTCACGTAAATTTACTTTTCTGTTATCAGACCATAAATTTACTCAGCCAGATGCTCCATAATGCAAAGAGATCATCAGCTCTCCTCAGGAGAGTGCTGGCGTTTTAAGGCTGGTGTTGGAGTAAAGGCTCTTCAGAAGAGATCAGTACAACAGTCATTCTGCACATCACAGTTTATGATTGAAGCTTTGGGTGCACTTCTCACTAAAGGCTGCTAAAAAACTGTAGGAAATTTCTCCACTGAAAACATGCTTCTCTTATCAGTCAACAAAATCTTTCATCTTCAGTACCAAATTGGACCATTAGATGGCGATAGTGGGCTATCCTTCTGCCGATCACACTGACTAATCTGGAAATTTGCCATCAAACTCTCCTCACGCAGAGAGTATGCAGATTGGGTTGGAGGGAGAATTGCGCCTACGATTACACCTTAAACACTGAACACCGTCTGGCTGGTTTTGATAACATGCTGCTTTAGAAGCAGATAGTGTTATCAGTCAGTAGGTTTTGATGTCAGCCTGAGACTGAGATGTATGAGGGGGGAGGACTGTGCAATGGCTTTTAGCTTTGATCATAAGAAGACTCATTTCATGCTTTCATAGCAACAATGTGAGTTTGGATGCTCCCTCAAGTTTTAACTGAAGTCTTTTCTGTTGCTCTGAATATAATGAGAACTGCGTATGGGTCTGGATTGCAGCCCATTTTCTCACCGGCCTTCTTGATCCTTTTACGCTCCTTGAGCTGGTAAGGTTTGTGGTCGTGCGATAGAGGAATGGCATTGCCGTCTTTATCGCAAAGAACTCCGCGTGAGTCTCCAACATTAGCCACTGTCAGCTCCTTATCAGACAGCAGGGCCACCAGACATGTAGTTCCTGAAACAGAGGAGGGGAAGGGTAGAGGAGAAGCAAGGAGATGATAATCACGGTAGCTGGACATGAATTTCATAGCAGTCCATCAAACAGCTGCTGAGATATTTCTGTCTTTACCAGAGTGATGGAAAAACAGCATTCATGTGGTTCAAAAATACCATGCTGTTATTAATCAGTGTTTATTAAAAACAATGTGACAGCTGATAAATTTATGTCAGCTCATTATATCCCCAATTCTTAAACCTTAGTATGTGTGATTGAAAACTTGATCCAGTGACAGACACACAATGTTTTACAGTACAGTATAAAAACACAGCACTCTTCCAAGACACGCACGTCCGTCCTGAAGCCACGTGCAAACAATTCAAACGCTCTTTGACGCAACTTCTCTTTCTTCCACTCTTTTTCTCCTTCCTCTCTTTGTTTAGCTTCCCAGCCAGGCAGAACAGTGTATGTACTCAGGATCTGAGGCCTATTGTATGAGATCCAAAGTCCTGTAGAGAAAGAACAGATCTGCCTGTTTGGCCATCTGCTCACACCGAGCG